GAATGCCCATTCAAACAAAGTCAGATAGGATCTAAGGCAATTTTATACACTCGTCATTTGGAGAAGGATGCAAGTGGAGAGAATTTGAAGGAAGAAAGATCCAAGTGCAAGAAAGTAAGTGAAGAGAGATTAAGAGTGATTCGAAGTGTGTTATCGTGTTGTAACTACAACATTTTTATAAGAAGAAAGGAGAAAAGTTTGTATTTCTTTTATGTGCTTTTAATTGTTTTTACCTGCAAACTTCTTGTGCATGCTATTTCCTTTCAATAATATGATAATGTTGTTATTGAGTATGATTTGTGAATAATTTATTTTCATCTCTCCTGGATTGGCGTTGTAGGAATGGTTGGTGAGAACTTTAGTGTGTGATTTCATGCAAAATTCATCCAGGGTGATGTTTTAACTTTTGATTCATAATTTGCTTTCGACTTGGCCATTTAAAATGTTAAAACTCATCGTGAACTTCGAGATTCGAGAAAATTCTTAGAACAATTAGGTTAACCACTTAATTTAGTGGAATAGGGATGTTGACTCTAGAAAACAAATAGTGGAAAATCAATAGTACTTGATGATATCCCAGTTAAAATGTGAAAATTTTTAGGAGATTTGGGAGTTTCTTGGTTTACTAAACTCTTAAATATTATTTCAAAATTTAAAAAGATATCTGAGGAGTAGAGAAAGAGTATTTTGTTCCCTATTTTTAAGAATAAACAAGGTACACAAGAATGTGCAAATTATAGAGAAATTAAATTGATCTGTCATACTTAAAAATTATGGTAGAGGGTAATTGAACATAGGTTAAGGCATGATACAAAGATTTCTCATAATCAATTTGGATTTATGTCGGGTACATCTACTATGGATGTTAGATATGTATTGAGAAATCTGTGGAGAAATACAGAGAGAATAAGGAAGATCTTCATATGATTTCTATTGATTTAGAAAAAGCTTATGATAAGGTTCCAAGAGAAGTTCTTTGGAGAGTTCTATAGAGGAAATATGTTCATATGACTTATATTCAAGTCATTAAAGATATGTATACTAGAGCAATTACTTGTGTTCGAACAGGAGGATTGATCAAGTATTTTTCTATTTCATCTATTTCAGTTGTTTCAGTTGGATTACATCAAGGATCGACTTTAAGCCCATATATTTTCGCTTTAGTTATGGATGCTCTGGACATTTACAAGAGGATGTACCTTGGTGTCACTAAAGATATCCTTCTTGTGGATAAGACTAAAGAAAGAGTTCATGGAAATATTGAATTATGGAGATCTACATTGGAGTCTAAAGGCCTTCGTTTGAGTACATCTAAAACTGAATACATAAAATGTAATTTTAATAATAGTAGCTCTAGTGGCAGAGTTGTATATATGGGTGACCAAATTAGATATCTTGGCTCTATAGTTCAAAGTGAAGGTAATGTAGATTGGGATGTTATGAGTAGAATTCAAGTTGGTAGGTTGAAGTGGAGGAATGCATCGGGTCTACTGTGTGATAAAAAAGTATCACTCAAACTTGAAGGAAAATTTTATAAGATGGTGATGAGACTTGTAATGCTCTGTGGCACAGAATGTTTGCCTTTAAAAAAGAAGCATAAAAGAAAGTTCAGATTTGTTGAGATGAGAATGCTTGGGTAGATGAGTGGCTTGACACTTAGAGACAATGTGAAATGAATATATATGTGATAGAGTTGGCGTAACTCCAACGACGAACAAGATTAGAGAGAGTCGTTTTAGATGGTTTGATCTCATTAAACGCCGACATTTGATGATCTTGTTAGGAGAGTAGAAGTTTTAGACTCAATTTATATTAAGAAAGTCAAAGGTAGATCTAAAAAGACATGGGCAAATTGTATAAAAAACGATCTCAATGTATTAGAACTAAATTAAAATATCACACTCCATGGGACGCAATGGAGAAAAATGATTCATGTAGCCAACCCCACTTAGTGGTATAAAGGCTTGTTGTTGTTGTTGTTGTTGTTATTGTAGGGATGTTGCTTCTAGATTATTGCAATCGTTTAGGAGAATAAGATTTTTCGGCTTTTCACTGGATTTAGAGAATTAAGTTATTTGATCGCTAAACTTTCTTAGACGCCTAGGAGAGGATAAGGAAGAGTGTTGATCCTAATCCTCGCCTAGTTAAATCGCCAGTTTGAAAGAAATTATCGTACATTTGAAAACATTTAAACTCTCTGATCTTGTTAGCTTAGTATCGTCAAATTTCAAAACTTAGGGTTAATCACGTTAACAAAATACAAAATTTCGTTCATTCAAGCTAGGTTCAAAACCAGTAGACTAGAAGTTTTTTTGCTTTAAAATTTAGTTCATTCCCTGTGAGATCGATATACATACTATATTTCATATACAACTTGGACGACATATATACTTTTGTGTTTCATCAGTATTTCGCTGCATTTGATCCATAACAAGTTTTTGGCAACGTTACTGGTAACAAACTCAGGTCATAAAACTCATTCAAACTAAATTATAATAAAACTTTTCAGAGAGAAAAGGCCTTCATAAAAATCCTACTGATATTTCATATGACTTTATCATGTTTGTGCTCAACCAATGTCCTTTTATTTTAAGTGAGAATCAAGGTCCACTTTACATAATTAGCTATATAATATAGTTTCATAATAAATAAATATATTGAACATGTTGTTACAATCTGTGTAACAAATAAGCTTTTCTAAAAGTCATTTCTAGTTAAAAACTTCCAAACAGATTTTGGATTGAAGACCAATAAATGTGATGAGATTTTCTAGCAAGTATCCCTAAGCGACTAACAAATATTTTGGAGAGTTCACAAATTAATGGGTGAATGTGCGAGTCCCAAAGAGCGATTTCAGCGATTTAACGTTGAGGGTAAAGCTAAAGTTAATTCTAGGGCAACGTGACCTGTAAATAGTTATGGAATACTCAAAGATTTAAGAGAATTCAAGTGTGGTGAGTTCCAACTTTCAAATGGTTCAAGTTAGCGCTCAATCTGCGATAGTCTAAGCCCAATCTAGGTCCTCAAAATGACGATTAAACTGACATGGTTGAATATAAGGAGAAAACTGTGCAATTCTTAGTTTTTTTTATGATTGATTTCATTCACTGCCAGTACTTTGAAATGCTTTGGAAGATATCAAGTACACTTAAAGAAGCTTTGGATATAAAGCTAGGCTATTTGGTGCTTTTGTTATGTCAACAAGTGGGTGCTCTTTGAAAAAAATAATGCATCAACTTCTCCACCAGCTCAAAGAGTGAAAGAGGGAAGTAGTAGACCCTAAAGTAAAGGAGTTCTTATGCGTTGATGTACACTTTTGACACCAACCCAAACAAAACTTTTTCTTTTTTGTTTTAATGGTGTAAAATTAGTTTTCGAACATTCAATTAAATGTACAATTAATATGGTTACGGGGTGATTTATGTTTTACTTGCATATACTATAATTGCTAAGTAAGCATTACTATTAAACTTAATAAATTTTATATTCATACACTTAATACTTAATTTGAAGGGCAATTACATCTATAGCATTTGAAACATTGTTATTTACAAATCTAGCACCCTGCTTCATCCAATTTTCATATTCTCACTCAAATATCAAAATTAACAATAAAATCCTACCCCATATTTTTTTATTTTTATCAGCTTCTCAATGGCTTGATTGCGACACGTGTAAAAATGTATCGATCCGTTGTTAAAAAAGTCACATGGATGCTAGTTTTGTAAATAGCAATGTTTTAAGTGCTATGTATGCAATTATCTCTTAATTAATTTTATAATAATCATCTTCATTGTGTGTGGAGTGCATACACTAGTTTGTTTGTCTTGTTTTGGTGTTTAATGCTTAAAGTGACTATAACTTGTGTGGTTGAGTAACTATTTACATTGTCCTCTCCTGAAATAATAAAAACATATCCTCCCCTTATTGCTTCATTAAGCTGGATGGCAATCAACTCCCCGGCTAACCTGTATTTCTTTCTTGATCACTTATGCCGTGTCCTAGCACAAAACCAATTCTCTTAGGCATATTTGGTGATCTAAAAGGTTAGATATGCATGCCTACCTTTGCAATCTTTTAATGCATACTCCTACGAATTCTAATCCAAAACCTGGTATGAGAGATATTAATTAGATCAATTAGGACCAAAAAAGCTTTGTAGAAGATCCCCATACATAACAATTTTAAGGAAGCGGTAAACATAGGCTAGATGCCACAGTTCAAGAACCCCATCCATTAAAAGAAGCAAAGAAACAATCAAAATACATAAAATGATGAAAAAATAAAGCCAGTCCACAAAAATGGCGCACCAAAGTGGATCTGTGAGGCATGCCCACGATTCTCATGTAAACTATGAGTGCTTTGAAATGGGAAACGAAAAACAAGATGTACAGAACAATTTGTAGGAGATAAAATTGAGTCAAAGTTGTGTTTGAAGATGCCGGTTTCTTAAAATTTCAGTTCCCAGTTTAAGGATAACAAAATGCAGAGAGCCCAAATCTGATTTAAGAAGATGACAAATCAGTAATCTGACATATATTAAGCCAAATCCGAATGCATTAGGAAACTAAACACCCGTTGAGTAGTTTAGTTTGCTTCTCCCATCATCTTCTTGTTATTCTTAAAAAGGTCAAACTTATTTGTTTCAACGGGAGGTCAAGTGAAGCAATTAAAATGAGAGTGAAACAGAGATTAAAAGAAAAGACCTGTTCTTTCCAAATTTGGTGCGAGGAAAGAACGGAATATTAATTTCATGACCCAAAGCTGGTGTTTTTTTTCAATGCTATTGAACTTAAAATTGATTCATATCAAGAAGTAGGCAAATGCAGGAAATTACATAACAAGAAAAACCAAAGAACCAGAATAATCAGTAGTTTACACAATGGCAACTCAACGCAACAGCAAATAGCAGGAACAAAATAACGCAGAAAGAATGAATTCAGCACAACGAAGCATCTGCAGACATCATTACAGATATAAAAAAAAAAAAACCATAAAATCCATAAATAAGTTCACATCGCAAAACCCTAGCATCCTAAAGGCATGATAGTGTAAATTTAATCAAGTTATTACACAAATCTGACAAAAAAACCTCAATCGTTAGGACAAACCTAACTAGCTAGAGTTCTAGCTTAAGCTCTTCCTTCTCCTTGGTGAGGTAATGGAGAACGATGGGAGTGACGCGGATAACCGCAACCCATACCCCCATGATAGTAAGATGCCTTTTAAGCTGTTTGTATGCCGTCGCCTTGTCCGGCCGACGAGGAAGCCCTCCCAGAAACATCTTAACTTTCTTCCAAGCTCGCTTTCACGAATTGAATCCCTCTCTCAAGCCGAAACCCTAAATGGTAGCCGGCGGTGCTATCGGGTCCTGCACGATGCAGTTGCCCTTTTAAAGCAGAGGATAATTTGGTTCCAGGTATCATACAAGTAATTAACTTATTATAAACTAATTTTTTTATAATTATTTTAAATTAAATGGAAAAGGGTTGTAATTAAGTCAGCCCAACCAGTGAGCCTGATCGAGCTCTGCTCGATGTGTAACTCGTGAATTGAGCTCGATGAGTTAAAACTCGAGTTCAAGCTACATCTGATTCGACTTGTTAGCATGTGAGCCAGCCCGGTTAAAAATTATTGATATAAAATGTGAAACTTAAGTAGCAACCAATTCTTGTGTATTTACATTTCTCATGCTAAAGCTTTTATTTTTATATGAAAATGTGGATTTCTCGGTTGAAAAGCATGATTAGTGCTATTTTTTTATCAGATTGAAAGAATTGTGTGTTATTTTTGTAGAAATGAATGTTTCGATATGACATAGTTAAATGCATAAATTTGGTGTTATGTCTATAAATTTTTCAATAAAATATACTTAAAATATAAATTTAAAGACTTTATTTTTAAAATATTAAAAATATTTAAAAATTATATTTTATATTTTATATTTTATATTAAATGATGTCTATTTATTTCTTTCAAATTTATAATTTTATTTTAACAATAATTTAAATTAATATTATTTATTCTTTTTTTATAAAAAGTAATTCTACTCGTGAGGTGGAACAATTATTCCATACGGACATTGCATGCAGAGATCCATGCGATGTCTGATCTCCATCGTCGATCACCGCAAAAATGTATTTCGGTGGACCTCACTTTCAATTTTTTTTAAAAAAAAATTTTGATTGCGTTGATCGAATGTGGAGATCGGACACCGCATGCAGCTCCGTACGGAATAATTACTCTGTGAGGTGAGTCAAATTTGTAGAGTTAAGCTTGAACTTGATAAAATTAATGAAGCACAAGCTCAAGGCGGTGGTGGGTCAAGCTCGACTCGATTTGTTTACACCCCTAAATGTATCATATGAATATTTATTTAATTATTAATTATATAATTAAAAGAAATTGAAAATTTAAATTTATTATCACTAAATTTTAATTAGAATATTCTTAATTTTTTTTAGGTTTATCGGGTAAATACCAGCTTGATAATCTTGCTGATGTGTGTTTTTAATTCGTAATTTAATTAATACTTATTTTTAAAAAATAATAATTAAAAATCAAACATCAAATCCCGCTTTATATAGCTTTTTAGTGATCTTAAGCTATGAGTAATGACCGAAGGAATATTTTCTGGTGGCCAACTCAAAATTTAAAATTAATTTTAAAATTATAAGATGAGTAATGTATACGGTATGTATATGATATATGATATTATATATTTAATTTATATGGAAAAAAATTATTTATAAAAATGCCCAAATGGATGTATGATGTTTAGTGTTTAATTAAAAATCTTGTAATAGAAATGAAGTTTGAGAGTCTATTTAGGGCAGTTGCAGCTTGTTGTGAAGCTCTTGAAAAATAATCTGATGTTGCAAAAAGTTGCGGCGGCTACCACAATTTTTTTTTTTTTTTTTGAAAAAATCATACTGAAGTTAGAATGTTTTCATCATATCTAGTCAGGAGCGGTGGAAAATGCTGATTTTAGCAGTAGCTTTTTGAAGAAAATGTTATAACGTAGTTTACCTGAATGGGCAAAATTGCGGTGTGGCGCCACACCACTGCCCCAAAGGGAATGTGTTAGCCAAATTATAATAAATAGAGCGGGATAAGATTCAACTAACACTGGTCATTTATGATTAGTGGCATTAAGTACATATTAATTAATTGAATGTATAGATAGAAGTTAGAAATGATAAAATAAGAAAGATGATTACAAAATTGGAAATAATATTCATAAATACATAATAAAGAAAGTAATATAAAACTTACATGCATACATATATACATACTTTGGTTAAAGAATTCAAGTAATATTCAAAGAAAAAAATTAACTTTGGTTGAAGGTATGATGAAGAGTTTAATTTGGATTTAGGCTTTAATCATATTAGGAACCGATATACTAAAAATTTTGTAATTTGAGTTTATGCTGAAGAGAGAATTTTTAATAAATCGATCGTGTAAAAAAAAGGTGGCTAACTTATGAAAATTTTTAACATAAGTGAAAGACTTTTTATGTTGGTAATTTCATGATTGACATGCTTTAGTAAGGCCATATTGAAGTTCTTAAGTAAAAATTCTAAGTTCATTAGTTAGATGGTTCTGGCTTTTCTATTTTACGATTGAACAGTCTATGTAATTTGTGTACTATAATATCAATTGGCAGGACTGACTCGATCGGCTAGGCCTTGTCGATCGCTTGATCTACTATGGTTATCGACCCTCGATCCCTGAGGCGCTCCTATCAACAGGACAAAACTATGTTGTCAACAGAAAGTGAATCATTGTAACCCAATAGATAACACATTCTTTGACGATGGTGTCCTATCACGTATGGATGATTGTGAGGCTCTATCATATTACTAGCTCTTTGTTCCTGATGAGGAACATCGAAGGCATCCGTAGGACAATTTGTGATATTGAGAAACTAGAGTACTCTTTCCTTGAGTTTGAACTACCAAAAAATATGGCAGTGTCTTCGCTCAACTTTCTTGTAATGCTTGGCATAGGTGTTTATTTCATTTTGCTTTTGTCTGATTGGTTCTGACTTGGATCATTCTTTTTGTCATTCTCCTAGCTCGGCCAACCGTTGTCCATTGGCTCAGATGGTTGCATTCAATCAGATAAGTGGGTCGCTTGGTCTCCTATCAGTGTGTCATTCTTTCTTGTACTTCCTTTCTTCTAGACCATTGGATCTCCTTAGGATCCGTGCTTGCACATCTTAATGTACAGTGAATATTAAGGTTAGGTGTTGGATATGTAAATGCAGAATAGTTGTATTACATGCATGTAAAAAACTCTTATTTTTATTGGTTTGAAAATAATAGTTCATATTATGGTATAAAATATAATCATGTTAGTACAAGATTTTAGCATAATAGAGTGGGATTCCATCTTAACTATGCACAAAATATTGCCAATGCAACGATATAAAATGACCTTATGAGACACAAATAGGAAAAAAAATCATGAGAAGTATGATCAGTTGAAATGACATCATCAAGTGAAATGATGTTACAAAGATTTGGCCGTCCCACAAATTTAAGAATGGAAGAATAAATGATTAAGGATTATTGGCTTGATCTTTGTTGCAGTGGTTGAAAAGTTAGTGAGGCGTTTAGGGATGAGTCTTGTTCAGATGGTTGCATGCAAATTTAACGGTTTTCCGGTGACATTTATCTGTTTGTAGAGATCACACCGTGGCGGTCCAACAATAGTGTTTAGACAACAAAGATCCAACATTGTTGATCAAGTTGCAGTAAGCCAGTGATGACGACCATGCATTAATAAATAGATCAAAGACAAAGGTTAGCAATTGGATTCCACAAACTCTCTTTAGTTTCATATTGAATTTGGGGTTTTCTTTTTTGACTAACAAGTGCAGGAAATGATGGTTTGTTTATATGTTTTTGGAGTAACGGTTTTATTGTTTCTATCGCATCCTTAAAACATCTAACAACAATCTCATTCATCACATGATATTTTTTTAATGTTTGAGCACATTAATGTATTGATAATTAAGCAATCATGTGCTAATATTATATAAATAAATTAAATAAACAATAAGAAGGAAATGACCTTGAGCTTATTGGATTTCTTTCGCCAACTTAAACTATAAGTATATGTAGCAGAATATATTGCCAAGAGAACCGCAGGACGGCAAAAACTGGAAAAAGAAAACTGCAAAGAAAATGAAAATAAGAACACTGACAACTTACGTGGTTTGGTTCATAAGACCAACATCCACTGGAGGGAATCAATAAATAATTCACTGAGATAATCTTAAAGATTGCACCGCACAATTTCAAGGACGAACCAACTCCTCTAGCTCTCTATTGATCTTGATCTCGATACAAGCTTTCTTGGTTCCTCGCATTGCTCTCAGAATTTTTCTTTCTCGTTAACTCTCTCAACTCATATACATCCTTACATATATATAAGCAATGACTCATACAATATGGCCGGTTAAACACTTGTCATAGCCAAATGACCGTTGTACCCATTAGCTATAGAAAACCTCCTTATAAATTGCGGCGTCGTCTTAGTTCACGTAATTGAGAGTCATCATAAAGATTCTCTACCTTGACTCTTAATTACAAATCTCAATAAAAGGAATTCCCTCCACATTGCCCCCAAATGGCCTTTAATTCTTGGTTGAGTTCACTAAGTCTATACAGTACATAAACTTAGATATAGGTAGCACCTTAGTGAGCATATCGGTTGGATTCTCTTCAGTGGGTATCTATCCCACTACTACCAAACCCTTAGCAACAACATCCCTCACAACATAAAGCTTCACATCTAATGCTTGGACCTCTCATGAAAGACCTGGTTCTTGGTCAAGTGAATTGCGCTTTAGTTATCACAGAATACAACATAACCTTCAGATGTATGTCAAGTTCATCAGACATGCCCTTTGGCCAAATAGCCTCCTGAATTGCTTCTGTCGGTCTCCAAATTAAGAAGAATAATATATATATATAT